GCTTCCAGATTTGAAAAGTGAAGCCAAAGGGGAACTCATTTAAACCTGTATTTTTCTAATTGCCAGCAGGGGGCGACTCCTTTAGTTGCTTTTGTAAGTACCTGCAGGAAACTGAACTTTTGTTCTTTTGGTCTATGACCTCATTAAATTTTCTCCTGATAGGTTTATGAACATCATGCTCATTTTGGTGACTAACAACTAATGTGTAGTCTCCAAAATGAGCATGATGTTCATAGAGGGAAATAAGGTTTCATGCCTGTGTTATTTGCAGTAAATGTTCATGATTTTGGATACAAAGTTGCTGAAACATGGTCCTCTCACAGCAACACTTTACCTGGGAGAACTCATAGATCCAAATGTGACTCAAACCATGAATCTCAGGTTTTTATTTTATTTCAAGTAAGATCAGATTTCAGGTATTAAATGTGACTTGTAGAAAAATGGTCCTTGCTTTTATATCTGCTGAGCTCGAGGGACATTTATTTAAAGGATGAGTGTATGCAAGCTGAGCTCAGTCGCAGCATGTTGACATTTTGTTGCCTTTTGGGGCCTTGAATGTGTCATAAGTCATGTTTTCAGAAGACAGGAAAAAAAATGTTATGCAACAAAATTAACAAAAATAATTACACAGTGTAGCCTAAGACTATTTATTGTTTATACCCAGCTATGTTTTTTGGCAAACAAAAACATTTTTCTAGAGGGGAACATGATCAGGTGGTGTCTGAATTTAATGAGCACTGAGGTAAAAAAAAAAAAAGACTTCCCATTCATTCAATTCTTTTCTCTTTTTTTCGAAACAGGGTTGTACACAGTTGTGTAATTCTCTTTCATTTCCTTTCATCTTATGAAAGCACACTGCCACATCTCTCCATAAAAGTGAACAAGATACTGATACCGTTTTTAATATCTGACTGAAAGCCTCATTTGAATTTCTAATTTGAATTTCTAAGAGGCTTTAAAAAGACTTGAGACCAGAAGCCCTGATGTCATGACTCAGAAGGCAACAATAGCTCAGGTGTTCCATTCAGAGAGCTTGGCAGGTTTTCGTGTCAGTATTAGATGTAATACTGAAGTGAAGTAAAGCTCCTGCTATGAAGCAAAGAGTTCAAAGGGTTGATTTTTTTGGTCTGTTATTTTTGATGATTTGAGTTTTTCCCACTCAGATTAACTGATGTCTTTTACCTTTATTCTTCCTTGGGATAAACTGAAAGGGCTAACACACAAACAAAACAGCCAGTGACAGTTTTCCCTTGTTGGTTTATTTTCTGCCCTTAAAGCCAAATGAAACCTGAATTGAAAGTTGTTAAATTAATTTAAAAATAAAGGATTCATAACAGTTCTGTTTT